CCCTTCCCTTCCCTTCCCTTCCCCCCCCCCCCCCTCCCCTCCCCCCCCCCCCTTCCCCCCCCCCCCTCCTCCCCACCCCTCTATGACTGGACATGTCCGTGATAAAGATACTGTGCTTTCAAGACTGGGATCTTTATGATCATAGACCATTTCTAATTATCCCTTGTCTTAACTATTAGTAAACAATCACTGCGGTGCCCTTGAGTCGAAGGGTAGCTTGGTACATCTGATTTGTGCTGTACTGTGTGTGCATGCATCTGTGCTGGCTGGATAACTCTAACAGACAAATAGCTTTTTGAGAAACCCGTTTCTTCATATGTGTGGGTACTGTTTCTTGAATGAATCGGTTTATATAGTCAGATGCACCTCTTGCCTGTTGCAGTTGTTTCACTTGGGAATTGTCATTCCAGGTTCATCTAGTTTGGCCTGTTGATGGTCAGCATCTGTGAGAGGCATAAGAAACCCTCCTATATCCTAGCATCATGCCTCAAAGCTGTTCTGTTTCTCAATTTGGTATTTACACCACAGTAATAACTAGGCATTTTTGAGCCCTGCAAAATGGTACTTAAATCTGTTTTAAAGCTTGTTAACATTAGACACCATCAGAGAATATTGTTGATCTTTCTTTCATGAAGAGTTCTGTATTCTTTCCACGCTCTTGGCTTCGGCAGCTAGGTACAATAATGAGAACTATAGTTTTTGTTAGGGTTGTATGAAAACTTAGTATCTTCAGTCTGTTTCAAATGTTGCTTCATACGTGTTCCTTTACATTCATTAACTATGTTTTTTCTCTGGGGTTGACAGGCAGGGAAGACTAATCAACTTTTCTTGTGCTGTTTGTTAGAATTTCTTTCTTAACATAAATTATTAATATATTATTTCAGCTGGAAAGACTTGAACTCGAAAGCTGGTATTTTGATACTGCTGCTATCTCTGGCGCATTGAATTAACAACGATGCATTTTTTTGCTGTGTAACTAATATTTTGTGTGCCATATAAAAACAGGTGTTCAGACTATTGCAAATCTAAAATTGTAGCATGACTTACATGGGAAATTTATATGGGTCTCCTAGTTTTTGTGAGGTAGCAGACATGAATCTTTGTGACTAAATGACAAAGAGATGCTATTCTGTGTCCTGCAAGAAATTGTGTTTAAATATATTCAAAGCAAAGAAAGTCAAAAAAATCTCTTCTCTTTGCTCAACTGTAGTTTTAAACCTGTCCTCCCCTCCTGCCCCCAACTTTTGGTTAAAGAACTCTCATATTGGGTCCTCTCTGCTGTTGACAAATGAGATCTTTGGCTACTCTGTGATAGACAAATAATTTCCTTTGCAGGGTTGACTTGATAGATGGGCTATAGTGTTGCCTTCAGTAGATTTCTAGTATTAGGTCATTATGCTTTTTCTTACGTTCAGGAGATTCCCTATTTGTTGGGTTTGGGGTGGATGGGGTTTTTTTGTGATTCAGAATTATAAAAAGCAAATGTGAAGCTGAAGGAAAAAAACAGGCTTTCTTTTATTACAGCTGAATTTGCCACATACTTGAATTTCTGCCGTTCTTTGCGTTTTGATGACAAACCGGACTATTCCTATCTAAGGCAATTATTCAGAAACCTCTTCCACCGACAAGGGTTCTCGTATGACTATGTGTTTGACTGGAACATGCTGAAATTTGTGAGTAGCTGACACAGCTTTCTAAAACTTTTTTTTGGTAATTTTTTTTTTTTTTTTTTACTACATTGACAGTTTTGAGTATCTTAACTGATACTGTAAGATTGTCTTGCCTTTTTCCTCCTGGAAGCTCTATTGTCTAGAAAAAAAGATCAGGAAATGAGGAAAGGCAGGAGGTACAGGAGCCATGAGATGGAGGTTGAATGACAACTAAGTTGAAGTTACAGGGTTTTAAATGTGTAAGGCTTCTGAGATACTTCCTTCAGAGCAGCCACCAGGCTAGGTTGCGGAATTATTACTTTCTCACACCTTGATCTTCAGCACAGGTCATTTGCAACTGTTGAGGAGGTGTCCAGCTGCCGTAATAGTATGTGTGTACATTAGCATTTTGAAGACTATCCCAGCAGTTGTATGAACAAAATTTATGGCAGTTCTTAAGAAATTTTACCAAAATAATTAATGCCTTAGCAAACTTCAATTCACGGGCTGTCCAGTTCTTTATTTTCACTATTTTTATCCAAATATATAGTTGTAAGCTCAATAATTCCCCAAGTTGTTCACTAGTCCTGACCCATAGGGTGCAAGCAGAGCAGCTGAAGATGCTGAACGTGAAAGGCGAGAACGAGAGGAGAGATTGAGACATACGCGAAATCCAGCTGTGCGTGGATTACCCTCCACTGCTTCTGGCAGGCTGAGAGGAACACAAGATGTAGCTCCTTCTACTCCTCTTACCCCAACTTCACATGCTGGTAAGTAAGCAAATACCTGGATAGATGCACCTTGTAGACTACTCTAATTTGCAGTTTGTTCCTGGTCATTGGAAATTCGAAATTAGAATTAGGATACCTGAGTGGTATTTGTCTCTGGTCAGGGTTTGGGGTTTTTGTTTGTTTTTTCTCCCCCTTGCTTTTCAGTAGATTGAAGGTAATTGTATACACTCATTACCTGCCAATTGCTACTTTGTTTTACATTCACAGAAATCTAAGGCCTTGGTTTTTCTTGTTTGACTCTGTGGAAGTTTTATATGCAAACAGCGAGAGTGTAATTTTTCCAGTGACCGTGTTGTAATCCCATTTCTCGTTATGAGAAGCTAATGCAGTTTTTCTCACAGCCAACACCTCTCCTCGGCCCGTATCTGGTATGGAACGAGAAAGGAAAGTGAGTATGAGATTGCATCGCGGTGCCCCAGTCAATATCTCGTCATCTGACTTAACAGGCCGACAAGATACCTCTCGCATGTCAACTTCGCAGGTAAAAAAGATTTCTGTGTAATGGAAAAATGAGGGTGATTTGATAAAGTTAATTTGCCAAAAGAACATACCAGCTAATTGATGTGATTTCATACTGATTTTGCAGATGATGTTGACTCGTATAAATACTTGACATTTTAACTGAATGTGATGTGGCTCTAGACTACTGTAAAGAAAAAAAAATATTTTTTTTTTACCTTGGCAGCAATAAGCATAAAGCACTCAAAGTAGTACAGAGTCATTGGTGTATGAGATGATGCAAAATCCTAGATATACAGCATTTTTACCTATAGTTATGGTGTTTAGCTCCTTTGCTCATTGAATTTCTTACGTCTGTTATCAATGAGGAAGCAGAGAAGGTTAGAGGCAGTTGAGTCATGTTTCCAAATCAACAGAGCAGAGAATATCGGTGCAGAATAGACAAGAAATAGTTGGTGAAGAACAGAAAAATGCAAAAGTGAAGAAATGTTGTAGTGCAGTACTGTAATTCAGAGCAGATAAGAAGCCGCATATGTGGATGATGGATAGGTTGCAGAAGGCTCGTTTGAAGAGGATGGCAGGAGGATGAATGATTCAGTGATTCATAGCCATAGCACTGAAATCCTCCTCATTGGTCACGGTGACTTAGCAAAGAGATTTTAGGAATGCTTCTTTTTAAGACCGACAAACAATGTTTAAATATATTTTTAACTCTTTATGCTATAGCTGAAACATTCCTTTTTCAGGGTATTCACACAGACTTGTCCTAAGTAGTGTGTGGCCTGGCTTTGTACAGCTTACCTTCAGTCTTACCTACGGAATGGGGAATCGCCTGTACTGTAGGCATACTGCAACATTACTGGGAGAGCAGTCTGTTAGGAGGACTGGTGCGGTCGCCCAGGGGGTTTTCCATCACGCCTCGACACTGTGCTGGAGTTCTAACTGCATAATTTTTGCTGCGGACTCATTCCTCGTTGACGGAGCATATTGATAAAAATTAACTCAATTCCTTTTGGCTTCATCATTTAATTGGCAGAATTAATTATTTTGGATAGTACGTGTTCTTATATATAAAATCTTATTGCTAGAGGGAATGCTCTTTTAGATGGAGGCCAGGTGGGTATCTCTAATGAAGACTGAGGCTGAACTGGATTGGAGAACAATTCTGCTGTAACAAAAGTGAAGTGGGATTTTTTGAGTTGGTTTTCAGCTGAATGAGTTGTTTCACCTTGCAGCTGCACAAATGTTTGTGCTTGCACAAGGGATGAACAGTTCAGGAGCAGAAATGACTGGACAAGAATAGGAGACAGGTGAGGTTTTCTGTGTTGGCTTTGGTGGCAATTTTTGCCAGCTTAAATTGTTCACTGAACTACAATTCTTGCCACCAGAAATTCCCACGTTGAAATATTTTATGGCTGAAGTTTGTGAACAGTATGAAAACAAAGAGGGTAGAACTGCGTGTAGTTATGGACCTTGTAAATTTGCATAAATACCTGATAGAAGGATGTAAAGAAGGTGCAACCAGACTCTTCTCAGCGATATCCAGTGAAAGGACAACGGACAGTGGGCGCAAATTGAAATATAAGAAATTCCATTTAGACATAAGAAGAAACTTTTTTACTATGAGGGTGGGCAAGGACTGGAACAGGTTGCCCGAAGAGATTGTGGAGTCTCCCTCTTCCAAATTACTCGGAACCTAATTGGACAATGTCCTGAGCGGCCTGCTCTAGTTGACTGCGCTTTGGGTAGTGGGATTGGACTAGATGATCTCCAGGGGTCCCTTCTGACCTCGGCTGTTCCTCGAGGCTGTGACGCCGAGTTCCCCCTGAACGTTTACTCAAATGTAAAGATGGTTTCCTGGTAAAGCGTGTATGCCCAGGGTTTGTCTCTGGCATTCTGAGCAAATCTCAGATGCTTTGGCTCTGTTAATAAATAATTAATGGAAGTAACAGAAATAAGTGCAGTGATGTTACTTGACTATGTTAGGAGAAAGTGTATCTTTCATTTTTTTGCTGTATTACTGACACGTAGCTCAGTATGCACGTGACACTTTTCTAAACATTGTAAGGTACGAGTAATGCAGGTGGGTTTGCAGATACATTTTGGTTCTGCCTAACTTGTAAAATGGGAATACTGTGAGATTGTGTAGGATTGTGGGGTTTTTTGAGTAATCTTTGAATATCCAGATGTCTAATTTGTGGTGTGGGCCAACAGTACAGTCTGGCTTAATGGCACATTTCTATAACTGCCCTTTTTAACACTCTGGTCCAAGTATGGGATCACTCGGTTGACTTCTTTACAATCCCAATAGCGGCCTCGTCGGGATCTTCTCTGAGTTTGTTAGAATTAATCATTCATCATCTGTTGTCTTCATTTAGTTCTTATCAAGGCAGTGAACTACTGCTGGTCTCCACTCATGGTGACTGAATAACAGTGTGCAGCTGTAGTATAATTTAAACAGCTTCCCATGGGCCTCTTGGATTTGGAAGGCAAGAGAGATTTACTTAGACTTTACCTTATAACGCTTCCCCTTGAGCTCGTTAGAGAAAATTCGCTTTTCATTTTCCCAGTTCTCTCTCACTCTGTAGCAGGCAAGATGGCTCAAGTTGCAAGTTTTCATAGCTTACGCTCTTACTATCTTCATAACATTAAAGTAGTTCTTCCATAATCAAAATTTATCCTTAGATGTTAATCAGGTTACCAGTTAAAGCCATTTGGGTTTCCCATTATCTTTATACCTTGTTCTTAGTCGGGAAAACCTAAAGTATCCAACTTGCATGGCAGGGTTATTAAGGAGAATTTTGATTGGCTAGGCTTAAGAATATAGAAAATCATCCATACCGCTTCTTATCAGGAGAACACCGGTAAAGAACAGCAACTGTTTGTCCGTGCCCATTCCAAGTGCGTTAGTTTCCTTTGTAAGTCTTACGTGAATATGCTGCCGCTGTTCCTTTTTCAGGAAGTGCTTAGACCGTACTCCTGGTAGAAAGCAGCTTTTAAAGTTTGCTCTGCAGATCTGCAGACGTCTTATGTTAAGAACTACATTTGTTAGAGCTGTTATTTATAACTTGATAAATTAGTTTTGTTATTTTATTTTATTTAGACGCCTTGGTTTGGTAAGGCAACGCTGCATCTGTAATCTTCACCTCTCATCATCTAGAGGAAGGGCTACTGCTTGTTAAACTCTGGGCAATGGAAATGTGCAGAGGTTACTCAAAGAAATAATGAAAGCTACTTACCTCTAAGTAGAGTTCTTAAAGATGACTCCACATTTTTATCTTCCCCCCTCCAAACGAGTTCTGATCAGTTCAGACTGAAACTGAAAACTGAGGCTGGGAATGTAGATAATACGAACCAAAATTCTCTTATGGAAAATAGGTCTTCTCAGAGAAATTGAACACTCAACAGGAAAATGGTAATTGGTAAGGACAGCAAAATAGGTGTCATGTATATTCCCCACCTCCAAGTTATTGTCCACATAGTACCTAAATAATTCTCATTAGAAAGACTAGCACTTTGTAACACTAAGCAACTAGTGTTTATTGGAGTAACAGCTAGCATGTCTACAAAACGGTTCATGAAACTTAAGTGTTTCTAATGAAATTACATAAATTCTATGGCACACGTTACTCTGTACTTTTCTCGATTATATGGAAGTGAATGCAACAGCTAAAAACCTGCAAGTTGTGAGATGTTTGACAGCGATAAACATTAGTGAGAGCTGAGCAGTCAGGTAAAGCCTATTCAAATACAATGTGTATTACTGCAGTACTCCAAAACCCGATTAGGATGAAGGAGTGGAGCCCGTTGTCTTATATGTGGGGACTATAACTGTGGTAAGCAATGACTGAGGAGGCTCTAGGTGTAATGCTGGAGAGTTTAGTGTGATGTCATAATGAAAGGGCGTAATTTCATCCTTGAATCTATGTATGATACAGTAATGAACAGAAATGGAGAGGTTATTTGATGTCATTAATGAGACATATGCTAGAATATTATGCTTAGTTCAGTTCTCAGTATCTTAAATTGTTGGAAACTGTAAGTAACACAAAGAAGAGCCGTAAAAATTAAGCTTGGGAAAACCGGCTGTACGATGCAAGAATTTCAAATCAGCATCTTTCAGTTTGTCTGAAAGGTAAGAGATCATCTTGAGTTAGTTGGTGTAGTATTTTAGAGACAATGATTTTAACAGGAACTGACATTTATGCAGAAAACATGTGAAGAACCTATTGCTTAAAATTAAAACCACTCACATTTAAAGAAAAGTGAAACGGAGGTCTAAGTGAAGGCAGTTAGCCACTGAAACAACTTCTTTCAGCAGTAGATCATCTGTCCCTCTTTGCCTTTGCATCAAAACTGGATTCATTTCTAGGTGGTGTATTCAGGTCTAAAGCAAGCCTAAACTACAGGTCTCTGTGCAATGAAGGGTTGTGATCTGTGCTGGACAGAAAATCATACCAGCTGTTAAAAGATCCTTCTGCTCTTAAGCTCTATGAGTGAATTGTTCCCTAAGTCTCCTTTACGTAGTCAGTCTTTAAATGTTAAGAAACGTAGTAAAGGAGGTGGTAAAGGAGGTCATGAGTATTCCAGTAAACACTCCTTTGAATCAGTTCTGTCAGTCCACGTTGCACAGACTGCATCCCGAAAGCAGTGATCATCTCAAGAGTCTAGTTATGGGTGAGTAGCCTTCATTTCCTTTCACAGAAGGTTCGGTCCGACTGCTCATGGTATACAGTAAGTTGTTTATTTTTTTTTCCTGAATGTAGAATGTTCAGCACCCAACAGTCAAAGCTGTGCACAATTCCTACTGGTAATAGAGGTATTCTCTCCATCGTTGGAAGAAAAGATTGGAACGCTGCACAAAGAAATATTTGATTAAGTCTCTTTGACAGGAGGAGTTTTTAGAAGACTGTAGCCAACACTGGCATTGAACAACTTAAATGTTGTGCTGCTTCCCTGGGGAAAAAGCAGCGTACTTCCAATGCCTCTGCATTTTCCATTTCCTCATGAGCAAATCTTTCTCCATGTATCCATCTTAATAGGCATCATACTCCGTGTTGTTCTTCTGACCCTGCCAGCTTTCTTTGAGGAATACTGATTTGTTCCTTTTACGTATCTCTTAATATGATAGAAATGTCTTACAGAAGTCTGAAATCAGAGCTCCTCAAAAGATACATTTGCTACTGCAAGTTTAGGTTGGGTATTTGTTAGACATCTTTATATATCGGGGCAGTGGAACTGTTACAAATTGCTGTCTTTTCCCCTACCTCAGAATAGCATTCCTTTCGAACACCATGGCAAGTAGCTGCTCGTCTCCTTTCGTTGGAAGGCAGCACTGGGTGAGTGCTTCTCATTAGACACCAAAACTTTGGATGGGGTGGGGAAAAAAAATCTTTGGAAACATCCAACTTTGCTTCTTCTCCTCACATTAGCTCATAGTTGTGCCTGTGCCTTCTGGTCAGATGCTTGATGGAGCATTGTTTTTTCTCTAACTTAAAAGTAAATGCCCTTCCAAAAGTTGAATTATTGCTGCTGTTCCACTTGAACTCTTAAGCAGAATTGACAAAAACAGTGATTTAAAAAGTCCCTAAAATCATTCAAGCATCAACAATAATAAAATAAAATAAAATAACCAAGTCTAAATTTCAGCTGTTTGAGAATTACATGTCTTTCCAGGGATGTTCATGCAGCAGTGTGTCATCCATTCAAAAACAGATCTGCTTCAGAATCGTAAAACCAAAATACTTGTAGGAAGACTCAATTGACTATATTACTCAAAAGAGGCTCTGTCTTGTCGTGAGTGGAACGTTCTACTGCAGCCGTATCCATTTTTCACTGTTTTGTATTCTTCTCCATTCCTTATGAGCTGTCATTTTAAAAATACTCAGATCTATTCAGATCTATATTTAAAAAACATTCACATACTAATGGGAATAGTTTGAACATGAGCATCTCGGAGGTAGACAGACTTGCATTTGGGTATTTAGAACTCCTTTCCACTGTTCAGTGCAGTAGAAGTTTCTGCCTTTCTGTGTGCAGCTTTTGGCTTTTTAGTCTGTTCTGCTTTTGGCAATAACAGGTTTCATCAGGGAAATAACAAGTTTCAGTTGGAATCTGAACCTTGATGGCTGAAGGATGCTTTCTTATGTATTTCAGGAGCTTCTTTGCTTTGCTTCTTACTAAAAAAAGGCTGTGAGATTTTTCTGTTCCTTAATAAATTCTGTTGTATAACTCCGTCTGCTGCCTCCCTTTCTCTATAAAGCCTAAGCTTGCACTAATCCTGTATCTAGTTGGTGAAGAATCCTCTTCCGTTTTCTCCTCCTGCTTTGTGTGCTTGGCTGACTGTGCACAAGCTGCTTCGTAAACGGTTTGTAACATTAAAAAGACCCAACGGTAAATGGCAGCCTAACACTTTAAAGTCTAATTATCAGACCTTAGTCAAAAATAAAAAACTAAAAAAAAAAATTAAAAAAAAGGGCAAACCTAAAGCTTTGCATTGGAAAGCTTGTGTGTGGGAGACGTGCAGATTCTGGTCTGCTCAGGGTTGTGTCTGCATTGGTTGGCCTTTACTGTATGCCTTACTATTTGTAGCTGTTTACGACCGAAATTAATACTGAATACTGATTCAGCTACTTAGATATTTCTCGCTTCTTAAATTGCAGTGATGTGTCGTCGTTTCTCACTTTCACAGTGAAAGTGTTGTTGAAATAATGTTACGCTGTTACTGAAATAAGTCAAGCTATGGAAATTAATGAAGTGTCTTTTAACACAATGTCCCATGAAAAATGAAAAGCCGTTGAAAATAATTAAATTTTTTTTACCCTCTTACTGGTGTTTTTTTTTCCCCCAAACCTAATTATTCATTGAGTCTATTTCTACACATTGGTAGCGTTTTCATCTGGTTTGTTCTTTCTTCTGTGCATGTTTATGCTCTGTTTACTTTTCTTCAAAACATCCCCTCTGGCTGGAAAGGTGAATTTTCCATGTTAACTTCTAATAAAGGAGGAAAATACAGGGAACTTCGTGTAGCTACAGGTGGGTGCGAAACATTGTATAGCTCACTGGATTTTAAATTCACACGCTTACTTTTGGCAACGAATTATTTAAAAGTACATTGAGAGCCACTTGTATGTTAACTGGAAGGATATGTGCTGATGTTGTCTTGTTTTTTGGCTTTGGTAGATTCCTGCTCGGGTAACTACCAGTGTTCTCCAGTCTGCTGTGCACCGATGAAAATTATTTTGCCATGGAGGGCAGATAATGCATGGCTGATCTCCTATGTTACCAATGGCTTTACTAGCAAAAATACCCTAAACTAGAGCGGAAACATTACAATTGGAGTTCTCCATGTGACTTAAAAGGCACTTGGAGGAACATGGACAGACTCCAGCAGCTGCCATTACAGGACGCTTTTGCCAGAAACCCAATGACCTTAAGAGAACCCTGTGGTAACGGGGCTGGAAAAGAAAGATGGTTTACAGAGTTGACCGCCTGTTATCGGATGGCCGTTTCAGTTTTCCCTCCACAGGCGGCAGACTTTACCCCCTTTTTATTATTCTACTGTAACTATAAATCTTTTACTTGGTTTAAGAAAGTTTTTTGTATCATTTTGCTAAAATTATTGGCTTAATTCTCTGTAAAGAACTCTTGCTTTTGTCTGATTTAAAAATGTAGAATATAAACAAACCTAAACTACAAGACAATGACTTGAAATTTCTTGTTTAAAAAAATTAGTCTGGCAGGGAACATGTAAATGAATCAAAACCATCTGACTTTATTTAAACTGTTTACTTATTTGTATGGTCCCATTCTGACTGAGACAGTTTTCTCATGGAATTTTTAAAACGGTTAGAATTTTACTTTGCTGTTTGCTGTCTTCATTCACACTTAACATTTAACTTTCCCTTTAACACAAAGGAATTTTTAATACTCGTTCTTTTTTATAGAAGAGGAGAACTAAATCCCCTGCAGGAGAGTCTAAGTATAGTAGAGATGGTGATAATGGATTTCTTTTTTTGTAAAGAATATGAAGGACAAAGTAAAAGACTGGCATTTGAGGGATTTAGAATTTGAAAGCTTGTCCTATCTCCCTGCTTAGTTTGGGTAAATGGATAGTTTCAAACATTGTTTATATTGGTAAAATTTTGTTTCCTGCACTCTGAGGCTGGTTAGCTTGGAGGGTATTGCAAGCGGAAAATACACGTTGCTGCTGAGTCTTCAGTGAATTTGCACGTTTCATTCGGCATCTACATGTTTAAAAATAAATAAATACATTGATTCAGGCCTTCTGTTTCATGCCAAGACTCAAAAAAGGAATTCTTTTAAAAAACAAAACAAAACAACCTATTCTTGCTGTGAAATCCAGAGAATTTTTACAATTCAGGTGCATACCACGTTTAATTCTGAACTGGATCCAACCTGAGTATGCCCAGAATCATGAGCTAGGAATGAATGACTCGACATGCCTAGGTTGTCCAAAAAACCGTTGCCGGTGTTGTTAGCACCTGTTGGTTATGGAATATGGGAGATTCTTCATATTGTTTGTTACTGTAAACGGTCTCATAAAATAAAAGCAGGTATTCTGTCCTCGCAGTGCTTGGAACAGTATCGGAAGTACTGTTTACACTAGTGTGACCGGAGTAATGGGAAGTTCCACGTTGGAAATGAAAGTATGTACAGAGATTTTGTTTGAACAGTTAGGTATTTTGAGAAATTCTTCCCTGCTTGAGAACAAATTTTTTTAAAGGCCTGTTGGTCTTCAAAGTTTTATGAAGAGTAATTTTTATTGTTTACGAATTCTTTTTTGCCCCTCTCAAAAGTCCATGTATTAAGTATTAGTCACTCTTCTTTGGAAGTTTTCAGAACATTAGCTACTTGCTTGTGTGTACTCTGGGTCTGACTGGGGAAACCTGTGTTTCGGGAGAGTATAGTGGAAAAGCTTAAGAGTTTGATCCATGGATAAGTTTGCATAAGAGACTTATTTCCTCAGTTACTATAAACTTCAGTATTTTAGGCATGTGCACTACCATTTGAACAGTTTTACACTTCACTGTGCTTTCCTTGTAAATATCTGTGGTTAATAATGTACCGTTAGAGGGACTTACAAAGGCAGCCTCTTTATTCTCTCTGTATCTGCAACATTAGATTGCTGTACTATACTTAAAAGTTGACTGCAGGCTTCTAGAATTGTACTCACTTGTGGGCAATTTTTGTCCTTCATAATAGTTAAATTCCATCATGCGGAAAATAGACTGTCTATATAAACCTGTGTATCGGAAACCAGTATCTCAGAGCACTTCATTTGTACTACCACTGTATTTGTGTACTTTAACAATTGTGTAAATACATTCATAATAACTTCTATTCTTCTTTGGTGTAACTTACTTACTTACAATGAATCCTTACTCTTTACTTGGTGTAACTGCTTGCTTGCTTCCCCCCCCCCCCTTTTTTAAGGGGTTTCTGTACCTACAAAGAGCACGTGGGTTGCAAACATTTGAAGACATTGTCGTGGTACTAAAACTTTCACTGAAGGATTTTGGTAGTCAGGGTCAGATGCAGCAGTTAGGCTACACAGGAGGAAGGAGAAGGCATTCATTGCTTTGCTCACAGAAAGCATGTCTTTTGTCTCTTTAAAGGGAAATGTTTTTGTCTGGATATTGCTTCTTTTCCAGAAGTCTTTTTTACAAACGCTTTCTCTTAGCAAGTAATACATTGTATTGATAGAAGTATGGGGAGAGAATTGCTATTGAGACTTGGCCAGTGACGGGAGCTAGGATGAAAGCAAGAAAAGCATTGAGCTCTACCCGCAGTGCCCTGTATGGTAAAAGTCCTGGCTTTTGCTACGCGATTCTCAAAAGTCTATTCATAATCTGAGGGCAAGTGCACCTTCAAGAATCCTCTGTGTTTCTGATTAGCAGGCCTTGAAAAGTGGGAAGGACGTTTAATTTATCCTCACAGTTTTCATTTAGAAGTGGCTATGTGCTTTTATGTGGAAAATACCACCTGTGCTGCTGTTTTACAGAGTCCCTGAATTCTTTGTGGTACAAGTACCTTGAAAACAATTGAAAATAAATCCGACGCTTCAAGAGACATATTAAGTAAAAGCATTCAAGGAGTCCATCTATTCCATGTTAACTTCACGAAAGTACTCCACCTCTCCCTTGGAGGAAGGCATGTAGAACTCGGAGGCATCTTCATTCTCCAGTGGGGAAAAATACCATAAGCACAACCATTTGTTGTCTTTGTTTCCCCACATTCCAGACCTCTGCGTGACAGTAAAATCTGTCAAAGGCAACGCTTTCAGAAATTGAATTTCCCAACAAGAATCTTTACAATGAATTTACAGATTTGTAAGTAGATCATTGGCTGGAGCGTACATGTTCATTTCAAGAATATTCATTTTCTCTTTGTAAAAAAGCGAAATAAAAAGGTGTTTCTTCTGTTCTTTAACTTTTGCTTTACAAAAGCAGCACTTCGTGTACAAAATACTAAGTGAAAACAAGCAACGCTGCTGGTTTTTTAATGGTGCTGAGACATCTGGTCAGAAATCTAGATTTAATCCAGTTGTGAGGAAGCGTAATCCACCATGAACTTAATCGTACAGCAAAGTGGCTTCTAAAATTCACTGGATGAGACAGGTTAATAATAAAAAGGTTTTGCCATTAAAGAATGCAGTACTTCATTATTATGAACAGTACGCTTCCCTCTGGTTCATTCAGGTGACAGTTCTTGGCATTACATGTATATGTCCAGATTTAGGTGATTGTATGAACCTGAACTGTATGGACTACTTGCTTCGTTCAGTAGTTTCGTACCAGGAGAGTGCTCAGAGGCCTGATCTTCAGTAAGAATCTGTTTCACAGCAAAATCCTACTAACTTCATCAGCAAACATTTGCACAGGAGTAACGCTTTACGACTTTTTCGCAGACATTGGTGGGTTTTTCCTGCTTAATCTTATTAAGGCTAGTATGCTCCTGTTCTTTTGATGAAACCATTGCATGCTGCCAGCAGAGGGACAACAGAAAATTAGGTGAGATCTGTATATACACGATCTACAAAAACACGCAGTCTACAAAAAAAAAGTATCTTTTTTAAGACAGTGTTCTCTGTTAATCTCATTTTGGGAAAATTCTTGACTCAAAATGCATAGATAAGATCTAGGTCTGAGAAATACACGTGTAAGGGACAAACAGGAATGTGGAAAAAGGGGAAATTGTGTATATCATCCTAAAGCATTAAGCCCTAGTCTACTGTGTCTTCGCTGTGACCAATCCAGGATACTTGGGGTGGGGTGGGATGTTGGTACGTTATGCACTAGGAAGAAAACGTCTGGTCCTGATCTCATAACCAGACAAAACATTTAATTACAGTCCTCAGCTTGGTTCAGAGCTGCAAGTGTTACAGGCACAACAGGCTTCCGGTATTTCCCATAATCCTTAAGGAAAGGATAAACCAGCGACTCGCAGCATTTTGAGGTCATGCACAGATTTTCTTCTTAAAAGACCCCAAACAGCAAACGTTTCTCTGCTCTCACTGCTAAGAAATTGTATTTTAAAGTTTGTCTGACATCATCAACCACTGAATCTTACACCACATTTTTCAGCAAGACTGAAAAGTCTTTTGCTATTTAAGAATTTTAAATACTAAAATCTAGATACACTTCTTCATTGGATTCAGAGTTTTCCAGTGAAAGGCTTTAAACTGCTGAAACAGTAGTAGATGAAGAGTCAGAAGAGCAAGAGCTATCCTCGTTTCTTGCTGCTCCGAAGCATTCATCTAGGGACAGCGAGGAAAGGTGCCAGCTGGAATGTTGCCGAGATGAAGAAGCGGGTATTGCGATCAGTCAAGGAACAAACAGCATTTAACTAGAGGTAAGTAGCTTTCTGCTCTGCCTGCCTCTAACCTTCCATACGTTCTCAGACAAATGCAGGACTGCTGATCTCGCAGACCGTGTCACTAGCAAGATACTTTTAACAGAACTGACTTTTGCCGTAGATGTGCCTTCTTCCTACTGGCACGACGATGAGCTCTATTCCAGCAGCGTTGAGAAGGCTGCCAAAATAATACATTCCAAAGCCGTTGCTTCTCATACGCAGTGCCTCTGCTATTGTCAAAGTTGTTTACTCTTCAAACATCGGTGCGTCACCTTCCTTCAACAGGTCCAGCAGCAGGGAACACCAGCTGTGCCACGCGGGTCATGCCCGTTTTCCTCCACAGCGAATGGCCCGACTCCTTTCTTTCAGGCTCAAAGAGTACCAGACGCGAAGATAAACTCTTTGGGTTTCTGTCACAGGGATGTGCTGGCTGCACGCTAATAAACTCTGTCGTTTCAGTCCACCCAGTAACATTCATTCCTGTAGCAGCGTACGGCCTGATCTGGCCAGCGGGGTAGCAAAGCATTTGATTACACCTTAAGTCTTCCCCATTTAACTGAACTAGCATAAAAAAGGTAATCGTATGTTTAGTCAAACGGGGGGGGTGTGGGGTGTGTTATGTAAACTAGACCTACGATCTTGTCAGTGTAAATATACAGAGAAACTTTTCAAGCTGAGCTTAGAGAGATTTCTCCAAAATTTCTCAGCAGAGATACTTGGGATTGGGCACACGGAGGTGTGACCCTTCTAGATAGCAAAACGTAGCTCTTGTTACATTGGAGAGACTGTAATTTTGATTCACTTGGGTGTAGCCTTGAGATTATACCTTGAGGAGCCACTCTTAGCTGGGGTACCGTAGGGTCCAAAAAACCCCACCATAAATGTATTCTTAAACTATGTTTTCTTAGGAGCTTTCAAGTTCTAAAGAGCATCGCTTGACGATAAGGACAGCTTGCTGGCGGGTCAGTGCTCAAAATATTTAGGGCTTTATAAGTCTTAGCAATTCATAAAACTTTACCTGCAAACAAAACCTGGAGCACTCTTCAGAGGACAAGAACAGTAATTTCTGCATGAAGCACCACAAAATTAATAGCTATTCTTTTAAATTAGTTGATGCTTTAAAATAGTCTTCAGGATCGTTTACAGCAGGAGCCCGTTTCCATTTTGGAATTGGCCAAACTATGAGTCATGGCAAAAGCAGTCCCCTTGCCCACATTAAATTCTGGCTGCCTGTCAGCTCGGTGTCACCCCTTATTTTCTTCTTTATAAGCACTCTGCTTTTGTACAGCTATTTAAGCATGTGCAAATGAAGCCCAATTTCCAAATTTGGGTGTTATTTTTTCTAAGCTTATTTTCTCACACCCACAGTTTTCGACAACCAAATATTTATTCACTACATTTGCAACAGTTTACTAGAAAAGCATAAAAAAAATTCTAAGTATAAATGTACACGTTACATTAAAGTGCATTAACAAGAAACAAAGTCATCTCACTTGCACAAAACTGAAGCGTACTCCCATAATCCTAAAGAGAAGCGTGGCAGAGAGACACAGACACACGTGCGCAAGTCAGTACTTACCGCTGTAACGTGTAAGAGTTTGCGTTCTCCTGAAAGCCCTCTGCTTTTGATTGCCTGCCAAACTGAAGCTTCGCTTTGGGACGCAACAAAGGTGCATACCTGAGGGTGTTTTGGATTTTCATTCTGAGGGTTGATTGCTTGGTTAGGGGGATGCTTTCATTTCTTTTTAGAGAATGATTTTACATTGTCTAACACACGTATTTGTTTGGATGGGATTTAATATTAACAAGCACAAGATCTGTCGAGTCCTTCACACCACACCTTCATACCACCTCAAGTCTCAACTGTAGGGAACTGGCTGCTGTAGCAGCAGGTACTGCTAACGACTTGCTGTAATGTATTTGAGGACTGGAGAAAAATAAAATCTAGAGACTGTGATTTTAAACAGATAGCTGCATCACTTCAAGGTTTTTAGTTCCGCTGAGATCTTCTAGGCTCCAAATAGCTACAAGATATTTTATTTAGGAATTTTGAAAAAAACCCCAAACTTATCTTTGTATAGGAGGAGGAAGAAAATAGTTTTAACTCTGCATTGCTCATTGTGTAGTACACAGGCAAACTGTCTCTATTCTACTCTACTGGGTATTTTGCATGTTCGATATATATAGATCGATACATACATATATAAATATATATGTGCACACACATACACACCTCTTTATATATTCTCTGTGTGTCACAGGCATTTTGACACACACCCTCTCCTTGCATTAGGAAATTAAGGGCCTAAGATCCATTACATGATCAAACATACAATATTTTAACCGTAAATCCTATAGTACACAATTTGTAGCAAGATCTAAAAAGCTTTAAAAATTATGCTAGCCTGTACACTACAAGACAGTTCATTAGTTTCAGAGAAATAATCTATGAAAACTATCTTTCACCTGTTTTATAGTATTCTACTTGGGATTTTTTGCACTTGCATTTTTCGATTGTTTCCCTCACAGACTTCTTAAATAGATTCATGAACTATGTGTCTGAAGAAATTACATGTGTTCCAATAGTGTATGATGCAAGAGCAATTACAATGTTGTCTTTGGGATGCTTGGCAATGCAGCTGTATAATTACCTGCCTTCCCTTCCCTTTCCTCTTTTCTTTTTTCAAGTCACAAAATGTTAACCAGGTGAAGATTGGCCGTCCAGGTAGATGTTGCATGGAGCTGTTCTGCTTGTGTCCCCGGGCAGCTGGTGCCTCTTTAGCAATGCTTTAGGACTCCGACCACGCGCCTCCTCAAAATACATGAAAGAGCACATCTCTCAAACTGCTCTTAAGGGGATCTCAGTGGTGCTGAGATTAAAGAAATACCGTAGCAAAATACCTGGAGGGGTTTAAAAGCAATTCCTTGTGAATTTACAATAAGCAGAGTTAAATTAATAAGGAGCCAGGCTAGTCTTGCCAAGAGAAAAGGTTCCAGTACAATCCTCCCCTTCTATATGTAACAGTTCCTAGCTGGTGTTTGAAGACAGCGCTGGGAACCTCAGGAGTTGCTGCTTGCTTTTGTTTTTTAACATCTTGGGGTAGGAAGGAGGGAGGTCTATAAAACAGGAGCTCAGTGTAAAGGCCTTTGTGGCCATGTCTGTAGGAGCAGTTGGGTACGTGCCTCAGCACAGCCTAGCGTACTGGCCCGCAGTTGTCCAGGCTGGGGATCTGGCACGCACGGAGGTTTCCTTCGCATCGGAATAGTCAATCTCTTTCCAGGGAAACAAAGGCAGCTGAACGGAAGGAGTACTGGGGGGCTAGCGCACACCTGGATGTCACCCCTGAATGGGACAGAATGGAAGCAGGGGGCTTACCTGGCTCCAGAACTCAGAAGCGCTCTCACGCCTGCCAGTTCTGACGTTGCTAAGAGATCTGCACTAGGAGTTTCTCATCTCCGTGTTGATGCTCCTTGTAGATAATGAAAACGGTAAAAGATTTCGTAGCCTGTGTGAAACTGCTTAGCAAATTAAATTCCAGCCCTTATTTCTCACAGTCGATAAAAGAGCCCTGTGATTTGACCTCTCTCATGCAGTAAGCGTCTCCTGCTCTCACACATACTGCAAGCCATTGGCAGGTCTGTGCTGAAAAATAGCACAAGAGCACTGCCAGTCCTACTCAGAGTAGATCATCGAGTCGAGGAGAAGAACTTGTACAGGCCAACGAGGCACTTTCTGTGAACACTCAATTTACTTCAGAAATTATTTATGGTGTCTTGTTGAAATGTGTTTCCCCTGTCTTAGTAACTTCCTCTTCTGCCCCGGTCATGTAAAAATGTAACGTAACGCTTGTTTCCGGCTTAACCACAAAGGTATTATGTATGGAAAATGATACCTAGTCTGGAAAGTCAGTATGATAAACCCAAATTTTCGAGATGTTACAGTCTAGACAATTGGCAGAATGTACGGAAACTTAAAATTGTGCCAAAACCTGAGGCCAAAGGAATAACCATTTAGTTCTGTGATAACAGGACAGCATTCTCTAGCAAAGAAACCTGGTGATCAAAACCCACAGTAGGACAAAAATGGCTATTTGAGACTCTGAATTCACCTTTGGGAAGGTTTCTAGGTTTTGTTTTTTGAAACAGAAGAGGGAATTCCAATCTGAAAGCTGTGTCAGGCCTTCACGTATCATCTGAAGCAGCCTCTAGGGAGATCATAAACTGATCTGTGGATTCCATTTTCCTCTTGCCCTTTCATACGGTGGCCTTCTGGAGCCGGCAGTGTTGAGTTCCAAGTACTGATTTAGTCTTTAGCAAACTGGAGCTAAGTTCGGTGACTTGAGTTCTTGTAACTAGGACATGCCAGCGCAATTCCTGCCACTAAATTAATAAAAGGTTTTAAAGTAACGTACTATATGCGATAGAAAAATAAAGTTTATTCAGTGCAGCATCCATTTCTTTTTAAAATCACTCAAAAAAAACGTCATGATCCTAACTTTTCAATTTCTGTGCAAGCTTGTCCTAACAATGCAAAACCATTTTGAAGAAACTACCAGAATGGAAGCTGGTATCCGAGATCGTTCCAGCAGGGCATGGTTCGTGGGTTTGGCACTTTGTTGGATTTACAGTATGTTTCTGTTAAAATGGTCAAGCGTGAAACAACTAATGATGTTATTTTTAAAAGGGATACAGGGTTTTAAGGGATTAGGGTCTTTTAGTTTTCAGTTACTAAGCGGAACAATTATGGCACCTGAAAGCCAATATTCCTTTGCTACCAACAAGAAAACTGAATCTGCTACAGTTAGTCTGTCTTGAAGAGTGTTAGTGCAGTCACAAAGCCTAGAGAGCTTTTTATAGACATATCTGGAAGGTGGGTTGCGTAGCATGGTTTTGTATAAAAGATCACATTTCTTGAATGTGTTTGGGTGGGAAAAAAAAAAGTATGTAACGCCTTCCTTTTACCTTCCTTTTACCTTCCTTTTCTATTCAGTGTCCTCACAATGTGGGGACAACACAACAAAAATTCCCTTTCCGCGCTTCTTCAAACGTGCCGTCACTGCCTTGTCTGATCCGTTTCTGTTCCTTCTCCTTCCCCTATACCAATGTCAGAGAAGATTTAAAGACTGGCCAGAGACTCCCCGTTCTGTCTGTGCAATGAGCAGCAGAGCCGACCCCATTCTTGATTGCTGCCGTAAATATGATCAACAGTTCTATCGTGTTTTCCTCAACCAGCAAGAATGGCACCTTGAACTTCCATAGATGAAGCACAAGGACAGGGAAGCGGGGTAAATGGAAGAAAAAAAGTAAAATAAATAAAATAAACTTGTGAAGAGCTTCCTATGTTGCTAGCGTTGCATTTTAAAGATGGCTAACATGTTTCAAAATAGTCCCCTAAGTCTACCCGCTCTGCTTCATAGGTCATCTGGAAACTTACACTGTTTCTTTTATACACAGGATGGACGCTCTTTCAGGAGATTCTACTAAACCTAATATCCGTCCTCTCCGTGTTGCTTGTAATATTTTTCAATGCTGCAGGGAAACTGTACTGAAAACCGTGTATGTAAACGTAGGCTAACTTTGTTTGCTCACGGTCTGCCAGGATCGATTCTGCTCGTTTTATTTTCTTTTAGTACTACCTTGGAATACCGCTTGTGTGATCTGCTGAGGACAGTATCTGTAACGTGCCTTCCCACGTACAGTATTTCCGGATGATAATTACAAAGATTACAGGTTTAGACAAAACTCAGAAATACATTTACATAAATCAAAGTAACAGATATTATCAAAATTAAATTAGGGCTGAGCCAATTAATCTAAAAATCTAAAAAAGTAAGAAATTCAAAACCCTAATGGAGACCTTTAAGTTCCTGAGATTTTTCTCCATCTCAAACTCTTTCCCCTTCACAAAGAACACAGAAAGGGAAATTATATTTAGCTGCACGACACAGCGATTTCACCAATATTGGCTGAAAACATACATCTAATTCCACTTTTCTCAAAATATATTCTTCCTATATCTCTTCCAAGTGAGCAGTTTCTGGTGATGCATAGCAAGACTCTACTTGTGTTTATAAAAGCTTTTTAGTTTACATAAAAAGTATAACCACAATGCTCCACCTTTTACTGATAAAGCTAATTTTCCGATAAAAGGTTGTCTAGCTCATCAGCTTCCAGCGAGACCTGATGAGCTGACCAGCCTCCACTTCATAAAGCAGACGGCCCAGCCCTAAACTAGTTCTATTTCTAAAATAAATAGTGTTGAAAATCTTTCTTTTCTAAATGTGTTGTCAGTTTCCCATCATGCTCACACACATGTTTCTGGGTTAGTTACAACCTCGCCGTTTTTTTCAGGCTCATCTTTCAGAAACTGCTCCACTTCAATAGAGTCCACCTTGGCATCTTCAGGAGCTTTGTCTTCAGATTTGTTCAATTCCTCTCTTTCTGCTGCTTCTTCTTTTGTATGTGGTTCTTCTGGTTTTTTCTTAATGCAGAAGAAATTTCCCAAGGCCAATACGAGTGCTGAGGTGGTAACTTCAATTCCAGCAATAATAAAAACAAACATGTACCTCCCTGTTGCATCCAAGAGTTTTCCTGAAAAAGACAACATTCCAGGTAATTAACAAAAGTGATTATCTTGCAATTAAATTTTTTCTGCTTTTTTTAAACATTTAAATGACTCCTGTCTAGAAGCACCATGACTATCTAAGCAAGTTTTTTGAAGTAGCATTTTAACAAGTTTATAACAAAATATTTCTCAGTTATTTCAGTTCAGTTTAACACTCACTGGCATTACGTCACATCCCGAAACACATACTCCCCTGCACACAGAGCCATGCAGTTCAACTGGAATAAAACCAGCCTAGCCTTCATATGCAAGAGATGAGACAAGCGCCGTGCATTTCAGATCAAAATGTGTGCATCCATGGCCGGGACCTGTATCATCAGCCTCCTGTCGCTCCCAATCTCACTTCCTTTCCTGGACGGGCAGTGCAGTGCACCGTCTGCTTACAACGCAAATCTTATTTAATAGTTGGTCTGGAGTAATTGATTCTGATGCTTTAGTCAAGCTAAATTTTCACAGGACTTGGTGGAGGTGAAAGAACGGGAGGGAGGACGTGAAGGAAGCGCCTCACCAAACCTGAAGATCAGAGGAAGTAGTGCATAGTACTGTTTTTTCCATGAGGGGTTTTGTCACAGTAAAGATACTTGATGCTTTTCAGTGCCTGCTATAAACAGTAAACATTTTATGGAAGTGAACTGGTGGGTTTTGGGTGGGGTTTTTTTTTTCAGTGCAGGGTCTGTAAAATTTATGTTCTTTGATTAGTAATTAATTCGCAATTTTGAATTCAAATTAATGAATTTCAATATTTTGTAATGTCTCCTTATTCTTGGGTTGTGAGATGTGTACAGTAGAGGCAGTCGACCTTCCTTAAAACAGTCCAGTTTTATAGTCCTCCTTGTAAGATTTTTTTTTTCCCTCCCTCTTCTGATGTTTTCTTTCCTCCAAATCTACCATGGGTATAGAGAATCTATCCTAGTACTTTCCAAAGAAAATTGACAGCTTTCATGTTCTGAATCCGAACTCCAAAGAGGTCTGAACTTCACAAAAGTTATTCACTGTGTGCGTAAAGCTCATCTCATACAATATTAGCCATCTACTAATAAGAGGGCCAGCGTAGGCTTTCAGTGGAGAAAGAGCAGCATCTCCAGATGGCAATTCAACCAATCCTGAAATAGAGCCAAGAAGGAAAAGATTCATCCCACCCTGTCTTGGACTATTTCAGATTGTAAGTGCAGAAAGTCAATGAAGCATGCGCAACGCTAGCACAATACACGCTTCTCGAGTGACTCATGTTGTCTTTTTCTCTGCTCCCTTATCATACAATTTGTGTAAATGGATGCAACGCAAATGATTCTGAATTCTGAACTAAATGGAATACTTACCCGCTGATGGCGGACCAATTAGAACGGCCATAGCTTCTGCCAGGAGCACTAAACCGATAGCACTGGAAAACTTCTGAGTGCCAACGATAGCCATGAGAACTTCAAACTGAAGAGCACCTACCATTCCGTAAGAAATGCCAAAGAAAATGCAAAAGACCACCAGGCCACCATAATCAACAGACATAGAACCCATGAGATCTGTAAAGCCATTGAAAATCATAGCAAAACTGAAGAGGTAGACGCAGCGTGGTCTAACCCATTTAAGACCAGCTACCATTCCACAAATAGGCCGAGCAAAGATATCAATGAATCCCAGAATAGTCAGAAGAAAAGCTGCTTTGGTGTCTTGATACCCTAGATCCTTGGCATAACTCACAACGAAAACGGGGGGAACAAAGAGGCCAAGCACCATGATAGATGCTGCTAGCGTGTAGATTACAAAACCGCCATCTTTAAACACACTGAAATCCAGAAGTTTTTTCTTCACTTTCTTCTCAGCTGGTTCTTTGGTAGCTTCAGACTTTTTGGGTGGCTCCAAAGGTCTCATTAATGCTCCACATACACAGCAGTTGAGCAGCATCCCTCCCAGTATAAGGAATCCTCCCCTCCAGCCATACTCGTGTTGTAGTATCTGCCCCAACGGTGAGAGAGCACAAAGAAACACTGGACTCCCCGCAGCGGATAGCCCATTGGCTAAGGGCCGGCGTTTGTCAAAGTAACGGTTTAACATGATGAGCGAAGGCTGAAAGTTTAGTGCCAGACCCAAACCTGTAACAGAGGGTACATAAAAATTAATACTGGCCTACAATATCACTATTAAAAAAATTCTAATTACAGTTTTTCTGATATATGACTTAAGAGAAAAGAGTTTTATTTCAAATGGACAAAAGAATTCTAAGATAACATTTGTAAAAGCATTCCACCTCCACAATATTCTTGTACTCTATGGTTACAGTTATTATAGCAGTGGCTATTAAACATACCAGAAAAATTAACATTCATTAAAAAATAAATGACAGTTCTAATTCCACATTTATCTGCCAACTTTCTAAAAGCCCATTCGGATGATCCTGATGATTCAGATATTTGTCACTTCTACAAAACTTCAACCTAAAGCTAAGACGTTAGCTAACTCATTTTCAGCCATGCACGCTACTTACCAGTAATCACGCCTGCCGTTAGATAGATCTGAATGATGCTCGTGCAGAAGGAGGCTATCACCATCCCCATTGAGGCAAAAAGGCCACCCACCAGCATGACAGGGCGACAGCCGAAGCGATTGACACACACACTGCAGAGTGGACCTAGGCAAGAGAGCAAGTTACAGTTGCTAAGATAAACCAATTTTTGCAATTGATTTTACGTCAGTTTGCATTTCTTCTTTGGTGGACTTGGCAGCGCTAGGTTTACGGTTGGACTCGATGATCTTAAAGGTCTTTTCCAACCTAAATGATGCTACGATTCTTTCTGTACTTTGTCCGTACTGTCAGGCCAATCTGGAAGAGCGTTCCTTCCTCTATAGTCAAATACTTGGTCTTTTTTGTCTTCAGAGTGCTACGCAATTTTTCTTTTTCATCGTCTTTAGTAGCTACTGACTTACAGAGATTTAATTTTATATGCAAGCTGGATGTGCTTAAATAACTTTTGGATTTATGTCATTAATAGTAATTCTTCTCTGGCATGCCTTACTTGCACACAAGTAATGATAAGCCATCATGATTCACGCTGTAAATGGCTGTATGATTTACAAACGTCATTGTATGATGCAATACTGTTTCAAAAACAGAGAACTACCTACCTGTTCCGTAAAGCATGGCCAACAGAATGGAGGAAATCCATGCAGTGTCACTGTATCCAATGCCAAATTCCCGGATGAGTTCTTTAAAGAAGACACTAACTGCCTTAGGAAAGGCATAGGAGAATCCTGTGATGATAAAACAGCCGAAAAGGACGGCCCAGCCCCAGCCTCCATCAGGGGCTTTAACACCAGATGGACCGTCGTCAGCTACTACAGCTCCCATGATGAAGCTTGAGTGTTCCCTAAGAAACAAAAAGCAATTACAGTCTGTAGACATTGGGGCAGTTATCTAACCAAAATCATCTAACCAAAATAGGCAGAAATTGCCCTGCAGTTAAAGTTACAAATAAGATACGGGACTATTTTAAATACAAATCTTGAAGATGCAGTGCAATTTTAACTATTCCTTGTTCAGGTTTAGTCCTTACAAAGCTTGCAAAAAACACATAAAAATGAGATAAGCACAGTTGAGTTTTAAATGAACGTCCCCTCACAGCGCTCTCAAAGTCAAAACTGGATTTCAACCAAAATCACTGTTTCATAGAAAAACTGCAGCCACTACAGCAGTTCAGGGGTGTATTTGACTTTCACAAATATGTAATAACTACTGCATTGAAGTCTGTGGGATTTTTGTTACAAGAGCTTGTTATACGAAGCTCCTGGACTATCCAGTTAGGAAACCTGGATGCAAAATCCTGGTGCATCACAAGCATTCCGTGCAACAGTGGACAAATCACCCAGGCTTTTTGTTCCCTGCTGAGGACAGCAATACAGCCCCGATGCACCGCTATCTTGAAAAGATAGGCAGATCCCTTTGAGCTTCTGATGAGCTATCAGTTTTCACGCATCAAGTAAGTACCTAAGCTAAACTGCAGCGAAAATCTGCATGGGCAGTTTTTGTGGAATGGGAGGTAGCATTCCGTGCAACAGTGGACAAATCACCCAGGCTTTTTGTTCCCTGCTGAGGACAGCAATACAGCCCCGATGCACCGCTATCTTGAAAAGATAGGCAGATCCCTTTGAGCTTCTGATGAGCTATCAGTTTTCACGCATCAAGTACCTAAGCTAAACTGCAGCGAAAATCTGCATGGGCAGTTTTTGTGGATGATGGGAGTTAGTAACTGCAGCAATGCTCAGTATCACTGTCTGCCTGAAGCAAATACTTTCCGTTGTTGTTATTACATTATCAGTGGATTTTTTTAATATTTTTATTTGATGAATCTTATCTTTCACATCTTCCGTATGCAGCCGCGCCTTTGCATCTAAAAAAATCTTTTCCGTGAGAATGTTCTGTACTAGACAGTAATGCTGCAAAGTTCTAAAAGAGAGAGATGTGGGGGGAAAAGAAGACACTGAAAGGGCAGATGAAGCGTCCCTGTACGTGAAGAGCGCAGGGAGGAATTGCATCACAGCAGTTAGGTTTTTGTAGGGTCTGTGTATTATAGAAGTCTTGGAAAAAAGTAAGCTTCAAACAAGTTATACATTAACTCTTACATGTACAAAAATTGGCCGTTCCTTTAAAATGCAATTGATTACTGCTATTGGGTCAATGTTTCCCTACGATAGTACCTAAAAGAGGAGCGCAAGCACAGTTGCACATCAGAGATGTTCTTCACTAAAGAATGCTTCTGCTTTCAGCAGTACAGGTCTGCACGGTGACTGTTGTGCACTGGGAGCTACGTAGTCCTTACAGCTCCATTTCAGAACCAGGCTATGTATGGCACAGCAATCCGGTCGACGCAGACTTGTCTAGACAACTGAGCACCGAATGCGTGGTTGTTAATAGGCCCATACGTATGAACGTACTTACTATGGCATTTAGACCAGCACTCCCACTTCTTGGAAGAAACTTTATATACATGACGCAGAAACAAACCTGGCCGTGACTCTAGCTGTTCTACTACCCTGGCCTGTACAGGAAGGACGGTGAGCCTCGTACTACTGGCTTCACCTCTTGTTTTCTGGAAATCGCATATAAACAGAAAACAATTTGTCTTAAGTCCGTACAACTAGAACCTAAAATGGTTCAACAAGAAGTGAAAGAGAATACCTCAATAAAACTGGACATCTAGGTGCTTGCTACTACAGGTGGCCGATGCGCTGACTGCTGTAGGAGTGTGTAAAAACGCATAGCTTGTTGGACTGGGCAGTTTCTGCACCAGGCTTTGGGCTGCTAAATCGAAGTCTTAAGATGCATCTCTGCCAACCCGCCCGATGCTGGGATCTCTCCACCCTTCCAAACCGTTTTTCCCAGTAACTTCGGTACGATACAAGGTATGAGGCATTCTTCAAAAAAGGATTGTGATTTTTTAAAGCAAGAACCAGACAGCACAGAGTAGGTGCACAAAGCGTAATCCTTCGTGACACTGGTAGCTCTGTCATGTTAATGGTAACAGGGAAAACACCGATTCAAGTATCTCGGCTCAAGTGTGTAAAGAACAGGAAGAAGATGTAAAACTGAAGGAGTCCGGGGGGCAGGAGGAATCGTCACTCCCGCTACTTCCAAATTGTCAGTCAGAACATTTCATTTGGAATGAATGTTTGAAATGCTGGGGGAAGGGTTGTGTAAGTTTTATTCTTTTGTATGAACCATCCAGTGGCGACGCAGAGTCAGTAATAATACGTGAGCACCTTTTGTTGAAAAATAGCGATCGGCAGTTTCTCCGGACTGCTTACGCAGCGCTGGATCGGAATATTCGGCCCTAGGAAGGAATGGCTCACGGCGTTCCCCTCCGGGACGCCTCCTGCACGCAGGCGGGGACAACTCTCCTTCACTGAGCGCGCAGCAAGGATGTTCGAAGGGCAGTCTCGGCGGACCTACACTGCCAGACCCCGGTGGTCACGTACATCCAAGCCACCTCAAGTGGCAGGTGGCTTTCGAGAC